ATATATATATATATATATATATATATATATAGACATAAATATAAAAACTATACGTTATATATTTGTATTTTTTTAACCCGAATCCCGTGCCTTACTTGTGGGTCCGCCCTTGGTTGACAGTATCCCATGAAATTAGTCAAGTTGCGAAAGCTTATCCAAACACTACAATCATCAAAAGAAAGAAAATATTTTACTTAGATGTGTTGAATTTTATACCTAGCAGGTAAAAATGCTACCAAATATGGTGTATTTGTTTTGTTGATTTTACTGCATGAACAATTCACTTTCAAACCACCAACAACCAAACAACCCCTAAGGGTTGCTACCACTAAAATGATATTTTTTGACATGAAACTAAATTATTCGAATTTCAAAACTGTTATCGGACACTGAATGAGAAAAAAAATACCTTCGTTTTCTTTTGCGCACAATTTTCCTCAATTAATATAAAATCTTAATCGTGTCTTAGACATCAGAGAATGTTGAAATCTATGGGCTGAAATTCTTTTTAACTTATAATTAATTAATTTGGTAGGTAAGACATAAAGTTAGGTTTAAATTTCGACTTAAATGCTATAGTTTTATGGAATTTATGAGTTTGCGTCTAAAATCGTTAGCTGCATTTTACACCAAACATTTATTAAAGAGTCTTTTATAGTCTATATATAATTAATTAATTTCTTCTTAGAAAAAAAAAGAAGCAAATACTATAATATAATAGACAATTTTTTAACTGTTTCCTTCAAGGGAAAACAATGTAACTTATTATGTTTTGACTAATATAAACAAATTTGTCCTTTGGATGCACTTTTTTCAACGTAACATAATACATATACTGTAGCACAGACGTGTATATTAATAGGATAATTTGTCTCCATGCAGAAAAATTAAACATAAGAGACATTAATGTGTAACTATATAATTAATTAATTAGTAGGGAGGCTTATATGATTTAATTTTTAAAAAAAATAAACGTGGGGAATGTTATAGAATAAATGAAGACTTGCGATAGATGAAAAAGAATGGAGTTGGCTAAACTTTTAGACTGTTGAATAGAAAATCGTGGTCTGATCGAATACGGACTCAGAATTTAAAGTTTATTATTCATGGAATTGTAGTCTTTTTAAGTTATTAGGTTTCATATTATAGTAATTTATGCACATTATGGATAATATTTTTTAAGAAAAAATTATAAAATTTGAACTGAAAGATATTTGTAAATAATACCAATCAACCTGAAACCTCGGGCCAAGAATCGGAGGGGCATGTTGATCGAGATTCTATTAGTTTTAAGCAAAGGTCTTAGGTTTGAGTCATATAAATGAAATAATACTTATGACTATTTATATTTTGACCATTTTAAAGAAGTTTCACAAAAAACAATTTAGTGGCCATAACTTGCAATTGTCTTTATTACAAATCTTGATGGATCATAAAATATTGACAATTAATCCTTATAAATTATCAAAAATTGACCACAAATCCAACGAATGATAATATAGCTATGTTATGGCCATATTGATGCTCAAAAAGTATTTTTTTAAACAAATAATTCGCACAAATATACTAACTAAGCAATTTTTGGATCAAAATTAATTTAGCATCGATAATTTAAAATTTTTTGAATTCGCTACTATTCACGAGCGCCATAATTTACCGTGTAATGGAAGCATGCACCACAACTGAACAGAACGTGTTAAATTTTCCTCGTCAAATTGCAAAATCATTGAAAAAATATTCCACAAAAAAGGAGAAAAAAACAAACAAAAAAAATCAGAAAAAAAGAATACAAAGGCCAGTTGTTGAGCTGAGGAAGAAAAAAAAAACAAGTCTAAATTGGAACGTCATGAATTGTGACGTATAAGTTTATTTTTAAATAATGTAATATAATTGTTCATTTTCAAGCTGGTAAATCCCTATCAAAATTAGTTTAAAAAAGTTATACACTAAAGTCTTTAAATAATATAATATAATTGTCCATTTTCAAGCTGGTAAATCCCTTTCAAAATTAGTTTAAAAAGTTATACACTAAAGTCTTTCTAGTTCTAGAATGGCCAATAATGCCACGTCATGAAGATTTGCTCACAAGTATTTTCTTATATTTCGACTAATTTTGTAGAATATTTATTGTCTTCTGTCAACAACAAATATCAGGTAATTTTATTCATCAAAACTAAAATATCAAATAATTCAATTCATCAAAATTAAACAGAGGTATTCAAATTGTAACATTAACTTTGACACAACCTCTAAGAAGTATAAGAAATAATTTTTTTTACTACATAGCTTTTCAAATATAATAAATTTAATATTTTGCAAAATGCATCAAGAAAATGATTATAATTAATGATAAAAGTAAATCAAAAATATCAGTAATTTAGAAAAAATCTTTTTGACCAGAAAATTTGGCCAAAAAGAGATTTTTTCTATGTAATTTCTTTTATAAAACTTTTTTTACCCTTTTATTTTTGATACCTTTTACCAAAAAATGAAAAAAGATGGATTCATTTTTTTTAAAAAAAAATATTATCAATTTTTAAAATTTTCTGGCTATTTAGCGCTAACTCCTGATTTTTCAAACGTAACAAATAAAACAAGTTTTTCTTTCCAGCGACATAACTAGTTCACTGTACTCATTACCGCTTAAACCCTAAGATTTACATTAATTGCACATGTTTTTATTAATAAAAGGGAAAAGGGTCAAATATGTTATCAAATTTTTATAAAAGATTCATTTATGCTATTCGTTAAAAGTTTAGCTCATCTATGTCATTACCGTTCAAAAAAAGACTTATTCATGCCATTACAGTTTTACAAAACCACTTTTTACACGTGATCAATTGTAAATCGGCCACGTCATCAATTTTTTAAATACAAAAATTAAAATTCTAAATAAAAGTTGAATTAATTTTTTTTTTAAAAATTATTAAAAAAATTAATGACTTGGCTAAATTATAATTAACCACGTGTCAAAAATAATTTTGTAAAACTATCGTTAAAAAGTAATAACATGAATGAGTCTTTTCTCAATAGTAATGACATAAATGAGCCAAACTATTAACTAATGGTACAAATAAATTTTTTCTAAAAGTTTAATGGCATATTTGAGTCCTTTCCTTGATAAAAATAGGACGGAGTATTGAAATGGGACTCTTGTCGATATGTATAATTCAGTCAAACTTATTACCTACTTAATATGGTCAAAATATATACACTGATTATTATATATATATATATATGTAATGGACCTAAATGCAGAAATGTAAGTCATAGAACCAATCTCAACTTGTTTGAGACATAATTGTCATATATAATACTAACATGTATACTGTATAATATAAAACTCGTTTACAGTTCCAGAAAGACCAATAAGATGCACCCATGAACCTACGCGCAAAAAAGAAAGAAAACGAGAACAACATACCTAATGTAATTCCATAAGTGGAGTCGAAAGAAGGTAAAATGTACGCAAGTGTCACCCTCACCTTTGTGGGGTAGATACGTCATCTTGTATAGACCTTCGACTTAAAAAAAGAGGGAAAATGACAATCCTTCATATTATCATGTCAAAAAAGAAACATGCTCACACCAAAGAGGAACATATTTTCAGACTAAAGATAACATTTTTTCAGTGGTCCTAGCCTTGCAACTTTTTTTTTATGACTCTGGTGTTCGGACCAGCTTTTGCGCACTTCTACTAATTCCACAACAACAGATATCAAGTACCAGGTAACTGTGTCCACAAAGGCAAGAACAAATGGGAAGAATCACCTAGTATTTTTTTGTCTCCGCTGAGTTTTGAACCTGAAATCTCAGGTTACTCAACTTCGCAACTCATGTTTTTGCACGTTCAACATAAGAAATATGTTTTTACTATGTAGATAGATATTATAACGCAATAAAGCAACATTATTCAAGAATCAAGGTAGATATTATTTTGCCAGCGTATTAGAAAGTTTTCATATCAGATGCAACAGTTAGACTATACCAACAGTTAAAAGAGTTTTACAGTGTTAAACCTCTACATTAGAAATCATATTTCAGTTGCGACGATGACAGGTCATGCCTTCATCAACAGTATGCTCGTTTCCCTACATTTTTTACTCACCGGACAGAGAAGACGTAACACTATGTTCTCCAGAACAAATCCAGTACAGTTCCTTAAAATTGACAAACGAAGCAAGATATCATTCTTACAACTTTGAGACCTGCAATACCAAAAAACACAGGAGTCATGAAGAGTTGGCATTATTCCTACAGAAACACAACAAGGAAGCACAAGCAGTAACTAAGGTATTTTTGCTGTTAGACAGAACTTCAAAACACTTTTTAGCAGCCGCGAACAAATAGCAAGTAAATTCTAGGACAAACCAAGCAAATCCCATCATCAAGAATTAGTTCTGCATTCAATTGAAGTCGGAGTATCTATTTACTCCCCATTCTTTGGAATGTTCGGTGGATTAGTCAAGGTACGTGCAACCAGGTGCAAACACCAAAGGTTCACCTCATCTACATTAACCGTTACTTGAATTAGTTAGTTTCTTCTAAACTAGTAAAAATGGTAGGATCAGTTAAATGCAAAAGAGAGTAAAAATTCACATAGCACCATGAGTTTTCACTATAATCCTTTTCTCTTTCTTAATTGAATTGTTATGCTTGATTGAGACCTACAAATGATCTTATCGAGAACTTCAAATTGATTCTTACACATACGAGCAACTAGAAACAAAGCATCCGAAGTCTGCACATTCATCTGTATTTCTCAACATGCTCTGCAAAAGTACATTCTTTATAGTTCATTATCATCGAAAAAGGATAAAGCTTTCCAGCAGTACAGTATATTTCAGCTAAAGAGCAGACCAAACCTAATAACAAACATATTCGGAATATTCCAGCAAAAAGGGACTCATCATACATAACTTTTGACAAAAGCTGTTAGCAGCTTCAGACTACCGGAATGTTTAATTTTATCGATCCATCCGTTGAATAAATGCTCACTTAAAGCAGCAGCACAATTACAGAGAAAGTAGATTTCGAAATAATGGAACACATAAAAATCACAATGAGTTCTAAATCATTCACACTAGTAATACATGATGCATTGATACTCATTCATAATAAACGAGAAAAACGTAAGATAAATATGCATATTGATCAAGAATTACCAAATTTACAGTAGCCACCAATGCAAATGCAGAAATCTACATGTCAGATGAACCCAATGCTTCTAATTCATCAATGCCGTGTTCATTGCCTTTCGCGGTCTCGTAAAATTCTGAATTAATTAGACTAACTGATATACATCCATATTCAAATGTTCATTCAAAATCTACTACCAGCCTTTAACAATTGTCTTCTCTTTATTAGCAAGAACGCCACCACACACACCTGCAACATCCCAGCAACACCCACAAACACTAACCCCAGTTTCTTCCCCAAATTTGGCTTCTTTTTCTTTGCTGGTTGATGCGATTTCCCGTAAGAGTTATGGTGTTTTTTATCATGATTAGAGTGTTTACTCTCCGAGGTGGTCGCAGAATTCACAGATTTAGTTGGTGGTGGAGAATGGTATTTTTGCTGGGATGGAGGAGGAGGAGGCCCTGGTGATGGTGGTGGAGGCGGTGGAGGAGGAGATTGGTTAGACGGCGGCGGCGGCGGAGAAGGAGGACTCACATTTTGCTGAGATTGCACGGCAAGAGCAAGGAAGCAAAAGCAAACACCCAAAAAGGTTAAGATTAACAATGAAGGATCCATACATGAGCAAATCAATCGTTAAACCTCAATACAAAGCTAATTTGGTGTCAACTATATGAATCTTCAAAACCCATTTACCTTCATTTGAACCCCTTTCATCCAAATCAACTCACCAAATCCTCCTGACATCTGGGTTTTTCCTTCAATTAAGCAAAATCTTCACCAAATTTACAATCAGGCATAAATAGCTAGGGTTCATCAATCTGCAAAATAAATGGCACCCACCAATTGTCTCTCTAATCTCGAGAAATCAACCAAATGCGTCCCCAAAAAACGATCCCAAAATGTTGATTTCTTCCAGAAATTTGTAAGAATCAAAGAGGAACTGTTGAAGATGATGATGCCCCCAAGAACTAGGGCATCATAGATTGGTGTCGAGGTGATTACGCAGGGAAACGGGTCGGATATGGGATAGAATCGGGTCGTAAATTGGGTTAACCTTAACCCCTGTTTCTGAGAAATGGAGGAAACAGAAATGGGGGGACGATGAAGTTAAGAGAGAGAAGTGGCTGTTAGAGAGAGAAATGAAACCGTTCAATGGTGGGTCAAATTTGGTAAATTAATTCCATGACCTAATAAACCTTAAAAAAAGGGAAAATCGTATATAATAGCAAATTAATAACCTAAATTAAATGGACTAGCTAGGGTTTGATTTAATTGTGCTCCATTTGTCAGTGTCTCTCTCTCAAAAATCTCGCTCGCCACTCTCCATTCTCGCTCGCCTCTCTCGCTTTATGCACAGAAGTGCATAATTCTATTTCTGTTTTGTATAAAGTGAGAGAAAATTGTATATACACATGCAAAAATGTATATCTTCGTGTTATACACTTAAGTATACAATTTACAAACATTTTACTTCAAATATTGCAGAGAAAAAGGCCAACGAATTATACAATTGCAGTGAAATACACTTTTCTCTAGCTTTATACAACAGAAGTGTATATATTGTGTTTCTGTTTTTATATAAAGCGAGAAAAACATATATCTTCTTGCTATACACTTATAATTATGCAATATACGTACATTTTAATTCGATTCAACTGTATGCAAAACAAATTATACAATTGCAGCGAAATAGGCCAGCGAAGTATACAATTTAGGCCAGCGAATTATATAATTGTATATATATAGCAAATTATACAGTTTTATGTTTGTTATGAAGCGCAATTATGCAAAGTTTGCTATAGCATACAAATATGAATTTTTTGCTTGCTATATGTGAAAGTTACCCAATAAAAAATGCAACATAATTTCACATTTTGTACACATTATCGAAAGTCTCGAGTTTAAGCTAATAAGAGTAATTTAGTTAAAAGCATCGCTTTTATAATTGACAACGAAATAATAAAGTAAGAAATTGTGCTAAAGCTAGAAAAAGTACAAATTTTTTGTATTGAATGAGATTATCACTTGTATTTATATTAGATTTTAATATGATTAACAAACATGAAGTAAAAAACCATCGTAGAGAAAAGAAGAAGTAAGAGTCATTTACATGTTTGTGTTTTTGGATTTGATTTTTGGTACTCACTTAAGTTTCATAATCCATAATGTAAGAAAATTAACTTTTTTTCGATCTAGTTTGATTTGATATGAATTTTTTTAAAAAAAATATTTAAAATTTTGTGATCTAAAAATAGTTAGTAATATTTGTGTAACTATTAATCATTCTATTAAAGATAAAATAAACATTTTAGAATTGAACTATTACTAAACATAAAAATACTTCATTTTTAGATCCATAGTAAAAAAAATCTAAGTTATTTGAGTTAAAAGAGAATACTTATTAGTTAGAGATAACTTAACCAAATAAGGGAGTAAAATCTATAGAATTGTTGTCTTATGCATTAGGCTAACAAGTCGCATTTTATCCTATAAACTTAGGATATTCAAGTTGTATTTTTACTTTTTATTTGATTTTTCGCTCTCTTATTCTATATTTGATATTTGTATAATAATTAATTTAAATATGTATTGTGTGAGATATATTAGATGACTATATATTTTTTAGCCGACGCTCAAAATTAATTTAAAGCAAAGAGATTATATTCATTCCATCATAATTTTTAATGATATTTCAAGGCAACTCAAAATTTGGAAAGTTTATTGTGAATGATAACATGTTAAATTCTTGTAACATTGAATCTTCATGTAATATAATTTAGTTTGTCTGTTGAAAGAAGAAGAAAATATATTTTTCTCATTTGTTTTTTTTTATGGGATTATATTTTTATATGAAGAAAAAATGTCTTTTACGAGGAAGCCCGACCATCTCACTGACAGGCTAATATTAAGACTTTTGGGGAAAAAATCATATACTAATGGTATTATATTATATAGTCTATAAATCCAAAGAAATGTAAAGCCATGAAGTGAACATGGCTTGCAAATGGGATTCCAAACTCCAATATTAAATTCCCATCCAATATATATATATACACACACATCTTATTATTAAATTTGACGAATACTCCTAAAAGTTAAAAACGATTAAAAAACAGATTTAATTAACTTTTAAGTTAATTCTAATAGATTTTTAGTTAACCTGATAAATGATTGGCTCAACACAGACGCGAAGAGTTGGGCCGGAGAAGACTGGGCTTGATAGATCGGCCCAGTCATAAGCATAAGGTGGAAGGTAAGCCCTAAATAAGGCTGCTTAAAATGTTCTTGTAATGCAAAAATATGGGGTTTTCAAGATGAAATGAAAAATGATTTTTTGAGAATGAAGTTATGGTTGGATATGCATTTTATGTTGAAGTTTTGCGAGTCTAGGACTTCAAAAGCTTGAAAAACTACTCGTAAACTAATTTTTGAAACTTGAAAAAATATTCATTTTCAGAAACAGTGTATTTAAAATATTTTTGAAAAAAAGGGAAGTGAAAAATTTATGACCAAACGGGAGATTAGACGCATGATTTGAGGAGGTGGCAAAAGGCATGACAAAAATGGTATAATGTAAAACAATCACGCAAATAACACAACAAAAAACCCATTATGATCCCAAAACAGGATCTAGGAAGGGTAGAATATACACATACTTTTAAGTAAAATTTTTAGAAAAATATCTTTAAAATAAAATTACAAATAAACATTATAAATTTCAAAACTTAAATACTTTATAAACTATTAAACTTTAAAAAAAAAAAAAAAAAAACATTCATATTTTCGTAATTCAAAAAAAAATTATTGTTTAAAATAGCTAAATGTATCGTCCGGTCCAATCCAATTCTATCCCGGTATATAGTGGGACAAGACGGAACCGAGTTTTCGTCCCGATAATTTCGGTTCGATTCATCCCGATACCGGTCAACATCCCGATCAAACCATCTCGGTTCAGTCCCGTGCCCAGTCTTAGATTCCGGAGCAGCTAACAGAACAATACAGGAAGTAAAGAGGACATAGTAAATAATAAAGAAAACTTAACATAACATACCAACAAAAGGTCATGAATATTCATAACAGACTTATGTTCACGTTCTTCAGTCGACAAGCAAACTAAAGTTGAAAAAGGTTTTATTACAGTAAAGCAAGGGGTATACCAATCTCCACGGAACATCACATCTTGTTATAGTTGAACTATATTTCACCATTAGATGGTGAAGCCAATTCCTCTGAACTTGGTGGTCCGATTATGTCAGTCGAACCAACCTGGTCACCCAGCCCTGGACTTACGATCTCCTTCGCGCTGCTGCTTGTACTTGCTTCAGCTTGTGGTGAAGCCTCCATCATATCAGGTATCTGAGTCAAGCACAAAGACTATGAATCATACACCTAAAATAAATGCAGGTAGTATTAACACAAAACAACTCTCAACTCACCATTTCCAAACGCTCTTTGCAGAGATCACCTGATGACTGCACAAAGTTTAGAAACATATTGTCAATAAAACAGCCTGAATTTCCACTCAGCTTAAAGTTACAACAATCATTGACCAGAAAGAGATCAAGAGGTACTTATAACGCGATGAGTGCACTGTAATCAGAAACTTAAATTTATAATAAACAAGACTTGGGCAAAAAGCTAAGTTATTGAGCCTTTCTTTTCCTTTTTCAAGAAATATGTTATCGAGTACTTCCAGTATTCAGAGGCCATGGATCATAATTAACTATTGGTTACAACTTACAGAACTCCTCAATTATTTGTAGATATAAGATAGACCAGTATACCACCCATGAAAGTTAGAGAGGAAGAAGAGCTTACATGTTCAGGGCAGTGTTTCTTATCCTCACTTGAAAAACCTGGGACAGTCAAATTCCAATCTTTCTCTGTAAAGAACATCATAGTTAACTTAGACTAATACCATATTTTTTGTTCTTTCTAAATCAAATTCTGTTATAAAACATCTTAAGCAGTGATAGACCGAATGTAAACATTCCCAGGAACAACTGCATTGATGAGATCATGAAGCAGCCTTTCCGCCAAAAATAGCAAATCAACTGCATTAGGCAAAGCAGAAAGCTGTTGCCTAACAAAATTTTACCAGGTATTGATGTGTTGGAATAAGATAGAGTTGCATTGTGCATGTTCTAAACAAATGAGGAAGTCAAAATCTATTCACGAAAAGGTAAACCATTATATATACTGTATACAATGACAGTGTGACTCAATCACTCTCTCAGATGCAACTAGGACTATTCAGATACTCAACAATTTAACTAAGTCAGGACTCAGGTCACACCTCACTTCAAAGCCACTCCTGACAACTAAAGAGAAAGCTTAGCAATTCAAACTGTTCTCATCATATACTCACCAGCAACTCTTGAAGCATACATTATAAGGTGGTGGAATACAAATTTTACTAGTTGGCTGAACGCATAAGTAGCTAAAAAGCTCAAAGAGCTAAAGACATTAAACTGTGGAGACTGATGGTTGTTGGTACACTGTACTGACATGAAAACGAAGTTTGGTCCCAGTCTGAGTCAATAGGAGTATGTGTCAAATTTTGTAACTCTAATTACATTCCAGATAGAAAACCTGTGTATAGGCTAAATGCAGAGGATCTCACCATATAGTCATGTAAAAAACACACTCACTAACGGAAAGCAATAAAAATGAACTTATTATGAAAATATATGCAACAACTAGGACCTTTTATTTCTATAATTCTATCATCTTTGATGAAGTATGAAATGACTCCTTTTATATTCTAAAATAATGATAAATAGCTTGTTTTTTCTGTAAAAACAAAACAAAGTAAAACAACTCTGCATATTTTGCAGTTGCTGGCACAAACCTAAATGTAACAGTATATCTTTGGACTCCAGAGTCGAAGATTTCCGATGCTTCGCCAAATTGCAAGAAAATGTAGTAACCTACAAAGAGGAATGGAACATGAAACTTAGCAAAGAAAATGACAAACAATCAATGTTTCTCAAGAAAGTATTTCAAAAGGAAACTCTTCTTAAAAAAGGTTCCTTGTCATGCCTTTGATATTTTTTTTGGCATTACAACTCAAAAATGGGAAAATAGGGGGGTCTTTTATTATTATTTTTAAAATTTTTAGTTTACATTTGAGTGAAGGGTAAGTGTGAAAGGAAGAGTCCAGAATCAGCATACGATGACCCTTCAAGAAAAAATCCTCTTTACTGGCTATGTCAATGTATTCAACCACAGTTATCAAAGCTAACAATCTTAGAACTTGAACCGTGAATGAATGAGAAAGGCAGCATGCAAAACATGAAACCCGCAGTCTCCCAACCTCCTGACGCAATCCTAACAAAAAAGATAACGATAACAAAGAAAAAATCATTTCTATGCCTCACCGAATCAATAAAGTCATCAGCGATCTCTAAAAGAAACTGTTCAACTTCAGGATCAACTCTTCCCTGAGGATCCACCTGGAACATTATCATAATATGTGGAAAGATGTTAAAAAGTTGCAGTGTTAATAACCACAAAACTTATGTATAGAAATTAACTGTTTTTACAAGTATGCTATTTTTTTCCCTTGAACGAGGGTCTGCCGAAAACAGCCTTTTCACATACTTTGTGGACCAATTTTTTTTAATTGATTGTGAAAATAAATAAAAATTAATTGATTCCAACGTTGGCTTGAGTAACCACCAAGGAAAACAGAAAGCTTTGGAGATTAAGAAGGTTAAGGGAAAACCTGTGAAACTAAATCCTGAATCTTTCTCTTCCCAAGAAACTGATTGCTTGCTTCAGCCCCCTGGCTTGAACTACTCCCAGGAGTCGTTGTCCCAGATCCAGTGGCATCTGGTTCTGATCCAGTCAAACTCAGTAAATTATGACCACCAGGGGAATTCATTGCTGGAGAAGATTGCTGCTGATGCAAAACCTGCTGAGGTTGTTGTTGTTGCTGTTGGAGCTGCTGATTCTGATGCATCTGCGGATACCCCAATTGCTGTTGTGCCGGCTGTGCAGTTTGCGATAACTCTTCTGGGTTCAAAAGCATTGATTTTTGACACAAGTGTTGAAGTGAAGCTAATTATTTCGGTATAAGCATTCGATGCTGCCTCTGCTGTTGAAGAGGGTAAGAGGGGAAATTCGGAGAAGAAATGGTAGGCATTTGCTTCAACCACTTAAGTTGTGAAGAAGTATTCAGAATTTTAATGTTATTTCCCATTTTGGTTCAAAGGCTAACCTAGGTTTCACACACACTAAAGTGAGCAGAAAAAAACAAATTACGAAAAACGGAGTAGAGAACGCGACATTGACTACCGCTTAGACATTTAATTTAACAAGTTTATACGCAACCTGCCCAAGAGGAGAAAGCAAAATTGAACAAGTGAAGATAATCACATAAAGATAGCTTTAAATGCTCTCAGTTTCAACACATATACAAAAGCATGCAGACATAACTTTAATCACAATCACACAAACATATTTGTTCGGAGCTATATTTTAATGTATAACTTACATGACACTAAGGGTTGAGATTTAACAAGAAAACTCAAAGGTATACATATGGACCTAAATGCAACAATTGCGATGTCCTTCAGTTGATCTATTTTTTATTAAAAGGGGATTTACAGTTGGGATGGTTACCAATATATACTATTTGACTATCTAATTTACCATACATGACCAGAATATACACTAGAGGCATGTACAATATTTAGTATTAAGCATACACTACATATACATTGTATACATATTTTGTAAACTAGATGGCCCATAGGTATTGGGCAGTACTTTTCCCTTTATAGTTCTCAGGCATATTTATTTTCCAAGGATAATCAGCACATGCAAAGTAAGTCTTAGGGTTCAATATTTTGCACTTCATGGAGGTCTAAATCTGAATATTTCAAACCTTAGGCATTAAATGCATTTGTTTACGTTAAGATTTAAACATTTATTTGTTCTGAATTGGTCTAAATCATTAAAACATTGAATAAAGTGTAATATTATTAAGTACCACTTTGTCGACAACCGCCCACCTCTACCATCACCATAACCACGGTCAACCACACGAACCGTCACCAAGCACCAACCACCTTTGTCATCAACTACCACTGTCAACCACTATTGTTAGTCGATACCACACCTAACACCTCCATCATTAATTATATCTAATGACGCTACCACTACCGGTCACTACCACCACTCTGGACAATTCCTACTAACAACCACCTCCACAATTACAACTAAAACCTCCGCCAACTACCACCAACACTAACACCATCATCAACCACCTCACATTCTTCCGCCACCACTAACTACTATCATCAACCTACTAACAATCATCATCACCACCACCATCGCAACAACCACTACAACACCAGCCACCTTCACCAACATAACTATCACCACCACCATTACTAGCCACTAGTACCAACCATCACCATCACCACCGCCACTGCAATCCAGTTACACCATTACTAGCGAATATAAATGATTCATTTTTTATCAAATAATGATTTTATTGTATATATTTTTCTAATATTTAAATAACTTTTTTATTTGAATTGTATATTAATTATGTTTAAAAATAAATAAATTATGCATATACAGATGTTAAAAAACAAACAACCTTAATCACTCTAATGTGCATTCAAATTCAAATGTCTTCATCTTAATGCAAAAAATAGGGCCTAAGATATTAGGACACGTAATTGCACTTTATTCTTCAGATTCCCCTTGTCTGTACCAGTTCTGAGATGATTGTTTGATATCTGGGAAAGGCCTACGAAGGAACACGTAATTACACTTGAATTTTAAACGTATTTAATATTTAATTGTGTAAGAGGTATACTTTTCCATCATCTTTATTGATCCCAAAATAATCAAACATGAAATGATAAAAGATAAGCCAAATTTATGAAGCATTTTTGTGCAGCAAGTTTTTTAACTTTAAACACCAAAAAGAATTCTCTAGCTTCTTCTTCTTATTGATGGTGATGATTCTACTCATCTACAAGATAATCGAACATCCAAATGAATAACTGCCTCAAGTTCTTTAACTTCAAGCACCAAACAGAGTTCTCTAACTTCCTTTTTATGGTTCAGGTCTGCCTGGCACACCTCAATAATTCACTGGGAAACTAGCTAGTCCTGACAGTCTAGGTTCCAAGTAAACCTGACCACCTAGGATAGGGCAAGAGGGCGCAAACTCATGTTTTTATTTTGTAGAAAAGAAATCAAGACTTCTACTCATCTCATCCAGCAGAAACCACTTCATAAAGCTTCTTGTCCCTACCAGAAAGCTTCACATCCATTAGGAGGCTCTCGCGCCATATCTCTTGGAATAGCTAACGTCTATCAAATCTTAATCAATGATTTTTAAGTAGTAGGACCTAGTTTCAAATTGTTATGATTGAATCAACAAGAAAGATAATAAAATTACAGTGAGAATAGTTTTTTAAGAACCGCTTTATGAAGCTTCTTGCCCCTACCGAAAAACTTCACATCCGTTAAAAGGCACTCGCATCATCTCTTGGAATAGCTAACTTCTATCAAATCTTAGTCAACGATCTTTAAGGAGAGTAGAACCTAGTTTCAAGTAGTTAATCATTGAATCTACAGGAAAGACAATAAAATTACAGTGAGAATACTTTTTTAAGAACCACTATAAGAAGCTTCGTGCCCCTACCAGAAAGCTTTACATCCACATTAGGAGGCACTTGTGCCATATATCTTGGAATAGCTAACTTCAATTAAATCTTAACCTATTATCTTTAAGAAAGAGCCACACCTAGTTTCAAATTGTTAATCATTGAATCAAGAAGAAAGAAAATACAATTACAGTAAGAATGGTTTTTTCCTTTAGTAGATCTACTTAAGTAGCAAAGTAAATGGGTGCAATAGAAAAATGCTTGACCTCCTGCAACAGAAGATCTAATAAGAGATTTTATGGCAATTAGCCTGTAGCACTAAATAACAGGTAGCAGCATTAGGGTACCTATTTGTGTCTGGTGGGCTATTTGGAGAGAGAAATCTCAGGTGCATTAGAATATTACTAACACTATTCCGAAGGTTAAAGAAAATTGCATTAACATGTTTTTATGTGTAAAGAAGATAGTATAGAAGAAGTAGAACAAATTGGTAGATTTCCTAGGATCTATGTCATTATGGAAATAGCTTGTAACTTTTTGGAGGTAGCCAGCATACCTTTAATGCAGAAGAATACAACTTTACCTTTATAAAAAAAAAGGTAGCATTAAGCATCCCGAGTTGAAAGGAGGAGGCCAATGATTGAAGTAATTCCAAGCTGATTTTAAGACACAATACCTGCTATATCTAGTTCAGTTCGTGCAGGACTCTTCTCAACGAAAAATACCTCATGTGATAGGAAATTTCCAAAGAAACAAAACATCAATGAATTTTCTTCTGTTTGATGGCTTTAACCACAGATTAAATTCATGACCTGATTAAGTTGTAAAACAAAGCTATGACAATGTCTTTGGATGGTGCTACCTCAACTCAAATATGAAAACAAATACACTAAATAGCCTAAGGAAGTCATATCTATGCCGGCCACAGTGTGGTGAAAAGATCAGCAGAAAAAATGACAACTCAGATTTTATAGTCAACTACATATAAAGCTGGAGATATCAAAATTTGTCACCTGACTGATGATGAGGGAAGTTTGCTGAGACAACGTCTTCCGTAGTTGACCTTTGTTCATCCTTTGTTGGGCATATGCAAGGACCCGATGTGCCCTGAGTTGAGAGCTCAAATTGAGAGATCCCAATATTCCCAGTTTCCCATTGCCTGCATCCCTGAAAAGACTGTCCACGGAAATGACACAGAGAAGACTGCATCAATCCTGCCATCATGGCGTGCCTAAAACAAAAAATTGTTACATAATCAATTACTGTCTCAATTGCAATTTATATGACAAAATTCCTATTTGGAGACATTGCAAAATGATCCGTTCTATTTCAATATAGCTTAATCCACTGGACTTTTGAGATTTCAAATTTTGATGTGATTCCTGCTTTGATAACATTCCTTTTTAGCCAAGGGTCTCTATCGAAAACAGCGTCCAAGGTAGGGGAAATGTATCTTAGTTTACCTCTCATTTCTGGAAGTCATTTCAGAAAGGTCTTGATACTCAGGTTACTCTTAGCACAACATTTCATCCACAGTTGTACATTCTACCTCCCCAGACCCTACTTGTGTGATATTACAATGGGTATGTTGTTGTAAATTCTGATGTGATTTTTTCTCTGTTAAACTAACTTTTCAACAATCACGTTAGAGCTTTAATCTATTGCCACTAATATAATCTAAAGTCAAATTAACATGTTGAACTACTCCATTCCTAATATTGTCATATGAACACGAATATGGAATGTATTTTTTCTTTAAAACATAAATAAAAAAAAAGCATTTTCTATCCAAACAGTGCCTTAGAAGTGAATATGAGAAGAAGAACAACAACAACAAACACTACAAAATACCAAGTGAAATCCCACAAGTGACGTCTAGGGAGGGTAGAGTGTATGTAGGCTTTACCATTACCTCGTGGAGGTAGAGAGGTTGTTTCCGGTTGACTCATGGCTCAAGTGCAGCAATTTCAGGTATAAAGAAGAAAACAGTGACCAAAAAAATAACAACTAATTAGAAAAGCAGTGCAAAGCCAACAAAGAAAAGAACATGAACAACAACAAAATAGTGCAGTAGGCGAACCACAATAAGCAAATGAATATACATATCAAAAACTACAACTATAAGAATACCAATAAGCTTGAAACATCGAAATTCGAAAGCACAACAGTTCACTAGCTATAATCTTCTACCCTTTTAGGCGGTCCGCAGTCTCCATTCCCTCTCCCTCTTATCTAAGGTCAGAAGCTGCATCATGTTGTGTCTAATCACTTTTCCTTAATACTTTTTCAGCCTACTCTAGCTCCACCTCTCCCTCGTGACTACTACATCCAACCCCTCCACATCTCCGCTGACAAATATAAGAAGAGACTTTAGAAATTCAAATTTTAATTTGTTACTGTACATAGGAATCATACGAGTGCTGAAGTGAAAGTAAGTATTCATTACCGAATCCAAAAGTTGGAATTGCAAATTAAACTAGGCAGTGCCTGCAACAAGACTATCCAGACAACAGAGGCAGCTTGACAGTTTGTCCAATTATGCTGATCAAGTTGAATTCCTGATTCAAATCAAAGAGTTATAATTCCAAACTTTTCTCAATCAATTGCCGACAGAGAAAATCTTTTCAAAGAGTCTATATAGTTGTATTTTGTTGAAAAAGCTTTGATAAGAACTTTAAAAGCTCTCCAAAAGAAAGAAATTAAGAGATCCCATTATTCCCAGTTTCCCATTGGCTACATTCCTGACACTGTCCATGGAAATTCCCTCGATGACACAAAGAAGACTGCATCAATCCTTCCATCATGGTGTGCCTAGGACAAAAATTTGTCACATAATCGGTTACTGTCAGTTGCGATTCATATGACGAAAGTCCTATTTGAGGACATTGCGAAATGTTTCTGTTCTATTTCAATACAGCTAAATCCAGTGAACTTTTGAGATTTCAAATTTTGATGTGATTCCTGCTTTGATAACATTCCTTTTGAGCCGAGGGTCTCTATCAGAAACAGGCTCCCTACCCGAGAAAGGTAGGGGTAATATATGCATACATCCTACCCTCCGCAGACCCTACTTGTGGGATATTACACTGGGTATGTTGTTGTAAATTCTGATGTGATGTTTTCTATTAAACTAACTTCTCAACAATCACGTTAGAGCGTTCTTCTGTACCCACTAATATAATCTAAAGTCAAATAAACATGTTGAACTACTCCATATTCCTAACCAAATATTGTCATATGAAAACAAAAATGGAATGTATTTTTTCTTTAAAACAAAAACATACCAAGTGAAATCTCACAATGTCTGGGGAGGATAGAGTGTGCAGGCCTTACCACTACCTCGTGGAGGTAGAAAGGTTATTTCCGATTGACTCTCGGTTCACTTGCAGCAATTTCAAGTATAAAGAAGAAGAAAACAGTGACAAAAAACATAACAACTAATAAGAAAAACAATGCAAAGCCTACAAGAAAAGAACATGAACAACAACAAAATAGTGCAGTAGCCAAAACACAACAAACAAATGAATACACAAATCAGAAACTACAATTACAAGAATACCCATAAGCTTGAACCCTCGAAAGCACAACACTTCACTAGCTAATTGTCTTCTACCTAATAAGCGGTCTCCATTCCCTCTCCCTCTTATCTAAGGTCAAAACCTGCAATATCTCTTGTCTAATCACTTACTCTAATACTTTTTCGGCCTACCTCTATCTTGTGACTACTACATCCAACATCTCCGCTAATTAAAATATGCGAAGAGTTTTTAGAAATTCAAATTTTAATTTGTTACTCTACACCTTCTGAGGAATCATACAAGTGCTGAAGTGAAAGTAAGAAGACATTACCGAAATCCAGAAGCTGAAACTGCAAGTTGAACTGGGCAGTGCCTGCAACAAGCTTGACCGGAGAAAATTCTGATTCAAATCAACAGGTTGCTGATTTCTCAATCAATTGCCGACAGGATATGGTTAAAAAAAATAAAATTGGAAGAGTATTTGTTGCTGTGTTTCATTGAAAACGCTTGGATAAGAAAATTCAGCATTTTTCAAAAAAAATAGCTAAATATCCATATGCTCAATATAACTGTGTTCTGGGTGTGTTGTGGGAGATGGAAAATGGATTTTCATTGGAAGTATTTTCTTGAAGAATGTTTTTCAAAAAAAAAAAGTTAAGTGAATACTTTTTATTTACTTTTTCCTATTTGTAACCAAAAAAAAATTTTAAAAAATATTTATATATAATATTATGGAATATTATGCTATTTGCGGTCAAGATGAAGTGTTTCGGAAGGTTGAGAGGATAATGAAATGTCATTGATAAAACTTATTCGTTTCATTTTTAAGAAATTTATATTTCTATTTTTAGGGGCAAAAAATTTGAAATTTGATTTTGCACGGGATAATCAATTAAATTTAAATTGTAAACAACCAACCTTATTTTGTAAGTGGCGCTCCCAACTAATTTTCTCGATAATCAAAGCTCAAATTTGATACCTCAGAGTATTTGTGCTTTCTATTCACGCAAGTGTTTTAATGAAATTATTTTATGCAAACCAACAGATTAAGGTTGTGAACTAAAAAATGGACTGATTTTGTCATCGACCACTAATCTAAGAAGTTAGATACAAAGCATATTCGAAAATCATGGCAGAATAGCTACATATACATTAACATGAGCTACATTTCATATGAATTTGTGGGTATGTTGTGTATATATTGCTTCATTAACAGTCACTACACATCAGTCAGTACAACCACAAAAAGACTTCTAAGCCTTTCCACCCAGAAAAAAAAAAAAAACTAAACACTAGTTTAAGAGAAAAGAAAACAATGAGTAGCCCAGATGGATGCCAAGTACAGTAGCATTAAGATACTAATTATGGATGAATATGAACTCCAAATTATGTCTTAAATCACAAATACTGTTCTTGGATCCTGGCTCTGTTCTCTTCCCACCACAACCTGGCATGCATTTCTCCAAATCTTTCACGACTGCAAAAAGAAAAAATCATTCCGCATCAGAAAAGAGCTTGCTTGATCTTTCAATCGCGAGACACAACTATATACAAAATTATGTTTCTGAGCAGTGATCAGCCTTAGGAATGACTCAACAGTTTAACGCATATAAAGAACAAGAAAACATCCCCATTTAAATATATAGATGGATGTCAAGCTTAGATATACTAGTACTAGTATGAAAGCAAATCCCTCAGTATTTCAACCATCGACCATTTTTTAGTAGACGGATAAATTGCCCTTATGAATCAGGGAACAAAGATGCACAAATTTCACTCTTGTATTAGATAAAATGACTCAGTTGATGGGATGTAACTAAAAATTCACAACCCTCTATCCTCACTGACATTCACTAGAGAAGAACTGATGCACATAGAGTAGAGCGCGGTGCTGAAGAAAATGGACTGTTGGATCAATTCAGTGACCACATTATATTCAGATCTATTTAAAAGGAATCTTTTACTTATTCATTGTGCTCGTGTCCATTTTAATCAGTTTGAGAATATGAAGACGAGGTATGTTGAAGAAATCAAGGTAAAAGTTTTCAAAGCCAGCAAACGGCAAGTTGGTACTATAAAGACAGACTTAGTTCTTCTGATATAGTCCAGTTATAAAATAGGAGCTGATAAACGCATAAAAGAATTACTAACCTGAACCTAACTCTTCTAAGCTCTCGAGTACCACCAGGCAACGCTCGAATCGTGATATAGACTCCAGGCTCATCTTCTTCAACCCATTCAGTCTCAACGTCACTGGCATTGCTAACAGACAGCTCTCCTGAGCGATCAGCCTCCCTTGAAGAGCTAGACCGTGCAGAAGCATCCATTGACGGTGCCTCACTTTTTGTCGCACTGATGTTGGAGAGCTTAGGGGTCGAAGTGAGACCACCTGCATCATAATAATGATGACCCTGTGATGGATCTCTTTCAACAGAGCCTGATGACAAGTGTTCCACTCCTGTTGAACGATGAAAGTGGCTAGGAAGACGCTCTTTCGTTAGTGGAGGTGTTACTGGACTACTCTCAGCATAATCAAGCTTCAAGTTCTGAAACAAAATGGTACATATAATGAACAAGAAACATACATGAATACATATACTTGCAATACAAAAGAGCAAGAAGGCAAGAGTGCTGCTCCAAACAATTTAATAGGATTGGTTGCAACATTTGCCACTAAACCACAAGGCTCACCTCATCTTCAGACCTCGGAGGGATTGGCAACGGTACTGTTCGTCGATTGAACCTGTGGACATTGTATAATTCCATGACCTTGTCATAATTCTCAGCCCACCAACGTTGAGCTTGCCACTTGTTAAATAGCTCACGGCTGAAAAAAAATATCAGTAACATTTTAGAACTCTTCACCAGTTTACCAATTATGGCCTGTGGGGAAGGTGGAAGATGCATTCAATCATAAAGATCAGTCACCCATGCATACAAAAATATGCTCATGAGAAAGCTGCAACTATTGCAGTTCAGATAAAAAAAGGCAAAGCATTACATCACTGCCATCCTCCTTCAGTTAATAACAGTCGTCAGTAGTAGTGATATAAGGGAGTTGACAGCTCAACAAAGACAGCCAATGAGGTCTGCAACTTCAATCAAGTTTCATTTTGAACCAAAGAATATCATGCTGAGCTTATCTTCCAATTCAAGATTCCAAAACTCAGGACTTGACGGGCAATTAGTGATTACAGCATTTCAGAGTAGTATTGACTCTAACATTGAAGCAATGGCAGAGTTAGGAAAATAGTGCTGGGACAGGAGGAGCAAGATCACAATGCTTTTAATACATCACAATCAATTTTGTTAAGACACAATTTTCAGCTGCAGCTCATGCAATAAACAGAATCTAATTAGTCAACTTTGTATAATTTCAGGCAGAAATAGAAGCATGCTATGAAGGGAAGGTGAAAGCCCACACTGACATACTCAAGAATTGAACTGCAAACTAGAAAGGAAAAAAAGACGCTTTACTTTTCGCGTTATAGTTTAAGGTAGTAACAAAATTGGTCGCCAAAATGAAAATTAAAAACAAAAATGTTTCTGCTAATGTTATGACGTGATAAAGATATGAATCCATATATTTCCAAACAGAAATGAATCAATTACTTATATGTTACTCTGTTTATTTCAATTTGTTTGGCCTACTTTGACTTGGCACAGAGTTTCAGAAAATAAAAAAGATTTTTGAAACTTGTGGTCTTAAATTAAAGATATGTCAAAACTCAAAAGTACTAAAATGTTCTTATGGGAAGATGATGAAACTAAAGAGTTACTAAAAAGGGAAAGAGTTCTTTTGAAATTGACTAAAAAGGAGAAGTAGGTAAAACAAATTGACACGGAAGAAGTATCTATTTTCCTCAAGAAATTCAAAAGTTCACTTACTAATGGACTAAATGACCAACAATAAGAAAACTCATGCTCATAATTAATTAGGCACAGGTCTTAGCTGAAATTCTCTAAGGGCTGTGATAACTTAGCATACTTAAGAGGATTAAAAAAAAAGGTCACATGTTATCACAAGAACCACTAGTTCAATTTTACTTCACAGTAGCATTAAACAGTGAACACATATGCATAATAAAAATGAGTCAGCAGAAAAAATGTCCATGGGTGTTTTCTACCTACGTCGGATAGAAGATTACATTAAAGACCGTCAGTTAGTATTAGATTTGAAAGCAAGTAATTGCTCAGCAGCCATGTAGACATGTTCTACAGACAACCAGTCCGTTCTACCCTCCATTATTACCCGGTTATTTGCACAAGTCTTCAATAGTTTGATATGTAAGAGGGGATACACAACTGCCTGTCGATAAAACAAAAGACCCTCCTAAACTAGATGTAGATGATATTGGCAAGAGTGGAGCTATCCATCTATGTTACGCTTAAATAGGCCAATCATTAACATCATATACCAAAATCGTCACTCTCTCTAACACTTCCCAGTTAACATGAAAGCCGAACCTCAAAGCTCGAGGACAAGTAAACATGAATGATTAGGCTTGATTTACCTATAACTGAAGCAAGTTATATCTATAAAGACCGGAAAGAGATGTTAATTTCTAGTGAATATTATATTTGTCACAACTAGTGCTTTTTGGAGTTATTTTCGTAATTAGAGGGGCTGACAAGGGTGAATCGGTAAATTCACATTTTTTTGCACTCAAAATGCCCTCTAAATTTCAAACCGCTACCTGACTATCCAAAACATTAGCCAATAACAACCCTGTCAAATACCAAATGATTTTCTTCCATTATTTATCCACTCTATTTCTTCCAATCTTTGTCTTCCATTGTTGTTTCTTTTACATCATCAAAATTCGGCTATTTTCGCTCTCTTTCGTTCATAAATTTAATGGACAATGTTTATGCTGTTCTTAAGAAGAAAAGACAAGTATATACTCAACTTGGCCAGAATGACCATTGGAGTTAGTAGAAGCATGTACCGAAAATATGACAAGTATGATAATGCAGATTGGAACCTTCGAATAGATAGAGTGAAATTATCCATGAAAATATTTAGTAATTAGCAGTTTTTTGGCTGAAGTTTTTGAAAATTTATTCGATGGATTTTTAAAATGTAAATTGAATGTTCTTTATTTTGTTATGTTTAGTTTAAAATTTTGTTGTATCAGATTGCATCATGTATTGAGCCTGATTTTTTTTTGGAGTAGGCCCATTCTCACTTCTTGACAAAAAAAGTAGTTGAATTATAATATGGGCCTTAATTTTGCCCTAAATTTATCCTATAAAAAAATTTACTTTGATATATATTAAAAAAATATGACTACAAAACAATTTGATCTAAAAATTTCTTAATGTATGTTTTGCTAATTGCTCGATATCTGTGAGATCTAGAGTTTTCATAAAGTTGAAACAACACCAAAAACAAAAACATACACACATACATTGATAGAGTAGCACATCCATGGCTACCACCCTCTTCCTTGTTCGCATTCTTAACCTCTTCAATGTACGTATGGAAACAATGCCTCAACTCCCAGAGTTCTTCCACAAAATAATTAAGGTCCTTACTTCGTCTTTCAACAGTTCGATCTCCCAATCCATATGGTACCATCTTCTTCGCACATCACATGGAGTTCCAATTGTGGAAGAAGAGATTGTCATGTTACTACACTAAAGATCTTT